GTTGATCTCATCTCAGTGTGAACACTTTGGGCCAAAGCCTCGGCAAAATCCAGGCCCTCCTCTCTCCATCCCTGCTGTCTGTATTTAAAGCAGGTAGATGCCAGGCTCCCCTGGGACTTCCAATGGAGCAAGTCACTTGAGGACCCTCCAAACTTTGGACAGCCCAGGTCAGACCAGACCTCATGTGCCCTCTCCAGGCCCTACTGATCTTCGCCGTCTTCTCCCTTTGCCTAACCCACAGCCTCTCAACTGGGAAAAAAAAAAAAAAACAGGAAAGGGAAGCCCGGGCCACATCAGCAGACTGGATCTGATTTTACAAGGCATCGACGGACAGTACTTTAGTATATGTTATTGCAAGAAAACCTTGGGCACTAGATTGTTTCTTATGGGAAGGGAGCAGAGACTTGCAAACAACATATGACTTTCCACAGTGCAGTTATATTTCTTCTCTCCTGGGCTCTCATTTGGAGGATAAATAAGGAAGACCTTGAAGCCAGTTTTGGAAAGACATCAAATCATAAAACTGAAATGATCTAAACAAATGATGCATCTATTTAAAAAACCCTTATGGAATTCAAAAGGACAATACTTTAGAGGTTAACGAGGTTATTTTGCTAATTAGGGTCCTCTCTCTTCTGCCAGAATACCATGTTATAAAACCTCAACTCTGCCAAATATCTAAGGCTTAGAGTTATCACTGCATCTGTTACGTGATCTGCAGAATATCAAGGTTCTCAGACTCTTTGTGTCAATGAGGAAAATATAGAATTCTGGATTTGTTGTGAGGTTTATAAAAAAGCATTATTCACTTCCTTTTCAGGTCCTATTTTCTTAAAAAAGTAACAGTTCAACCTGTTTGCCCAGCCCTTACTTTTCTTTTATTGTGTGCTACATTCTATTGTTAATTAACAATAAGAATGTTCACTAGGGAAACCTTTGATGGATTCATTTTTCAGAATAAAAATAGCTTGGTACTCTTAAAACTTGTACAGAAGCATAGATTTGGAGTCTATTAGATGTGGTAGCAGCTCTTGAACTTCTAAGTCAATGCAGGATTAATTCTAAAATGTTCTTACACTAAACAACTAAAATAATTTCTACTCAAGGTTTAAGAAATGCAGATATTTCAGCAAAGATCAAATAATCAAAGAATAATAACATAACTCAATTCCAAATACATTTATTAATTATAAAATTACCATATATCTAGTCTCTTCCATTGACTACTCATCCAGGATTTCAATGGGTTAGAGAAAAAAATCAGGATGGAGAATTATTCAGGAAGCAATTTTGAAGTAAACTAAAGGAAATCATAGGTACACTGAAGTAAGGAGATGTGCATTTTGTTAAACAAATGTGTTATTCTAAAAGAACAAGGTACCTATGAAAATATTTATAATTTATGCCATCCAAGTTCATGTCTTTATTATGATTTCAACATGCCCTAGGCCAGAAGACCACTTTTTAAAAAAATATATTTTATTGATTTTTTTACAGAGAGGAAGGGAGAGGGATAGAGAGTTAGAAACATCGATGAGAGAGAAACTGCCTCCTGCACACTCCCTACTGGGGATGTGCCCATAACCAAGGTACATGCCCTTGGCTGGAATTGAACCTGGGACCCTTGAGTCCGCAGGCTGACGCTCTATCCACTGAGCCAAACCAGTTAGGGCAGAAGACCACTTTAGTTATTTCACAAATCAAAGAGGGAAGGCTCCCAGCACAGAGATCCATCAAGGATAGTTCTTTCTATGGTGTTGTGAGTTGAATTGTGCACCCTCCCCAAATTATTATGCTGGAGTTCTAACCCCTAGTACCTCAGAAGGTGATTTCATTTGGAAATAGGGCTGCCACAGATGTAATTAGTTAGATGATGTCATACTAGAGTAAGGTAAGCTCCTAATCTAATGTGACTGGTGCCATTATAAAAAGGATGACGTTTGAAACAGAGACAGGCACAGAGGGGCACGCCATGGGAAGATTGGAGTTGCATTACCATAGCCAAGGAACTTCCAGAGGGAGAAGAGAGGCCTGGAACAGACCCTTCCCTGGGGCCTTCCGAGGGAGTAGAGCCCTGATGACACCTTGACTTCCAACTCGGCCTCCAGAACTGTGAGATAATACATTTCTTTGGTTTGAAGCCATCTTGTTTTTGATGCTTTGTTTCAGCAATCCTGGAAAACTAATACAGATTTTTTTTTTTTTTTTACTCTTCTAAACTTTATTTTAAAATATATTTCTTTATTGATTTCAGAGAGGAAGGGAGAGGGAGGGAGAGATAGAAACACCAATGATGAGAGAGAATCATTGATTGGCTGCCTCCTACATGCCCCCTACTGGGGATCGAGCCCACAACCCGGGCATGTGCCCTTGGCCAGAATCTAACCGGGACCCTTCAGTCTGTAAGCTGATGCTCTATTCACTGAGCCAAACCTGGTAGGGCTACTCTTCTAAACTTTGCTGCCCCTCTCAAATGACACAAAAATGCCAAACCAAATATAGAAAGAATTATGAAGCAGAGGTGTGACCCTACACACTTCCCATTCACCTCAAGTCTCTTTGCTCCTGACCCTCTCATATGCCCAGACCACATGCCATCAGGGAGGCGATTTCCACAAGAGCAGCTGCATCCGCCTTCCTCAGGCCACGCTCTCTGCAGAGGCAAAGCACAGCCAGCCTTCCATGCGGGCCCCACTGACTATCTGGCTGTGTTAACCAGCCTTTTGTGAAAACTTTCTTGTCTGATTTAGTTGGGAAGTTTCATGTGTTATTTATTTATTAAAATACTGTTATTGATTCCAGAGAAGAAGGAGAGAGGAGTAGAAACATCAATGATGAGAGAGAATCATTGATCAGTTGCCTCCCACACACCCCAAAGTGGGGATCAAGCCCACAACCTAGGCATGTGTCCTGACTGGAAATCAACCATGATCCTCCTGGTTCATAGGTCAACACTCAAACATTGAGCCATGCTGTCTGGGCTACATATGTCATTTTAGATGGGAATGGGCCCCTTGTAGCAACTGCCTCCATCTTTAACCAACAGGGCTGAAATTCAACAAAAATAAGATCTTTTCCTTTCTGTTGGCCTGTGAAATAAACTGTCCCCCCTAACACACACACACACACACACACACACACACACACACACACACACAACCTCATTGTTCTTTTGCTCTCAGACACACTGCAAATTCATTAATGGACCAAGGCCTTACCAGTAATTCTCATACTCTTGTAAGAGCTTATAAAGGGAGTGTTTGGGGCCAAGCCCTCGAAGCAGGATTCAGGTCTGGGAGGAAATGATTCATCTTCCTCTCAGGTGATAAAGTCTCTGATTGGATACAGCAGTCTGACGACTTGGCACACTAGAAGTCAGCCTCAGTTCTGAGCACACAGTCTGAGTGGCTTTTTGGAGATGCCTACAAACCCAAGGCCATGAGCAAGGCTGTGACTTGGTCAGAATGAAACATAAGGATACCTCTGACCATGCACAGTTTACTCGCCAGGATATCTGGAAATATATACTATGGCTGAGTGATACTGCATTAAATAGTAGACAAAATAGCATAGAGAAATCAAATCTGTAGATAATCCAGAAAGGACATTTTGGATAACACTTTTGCTATTCTGTACTTTAAAAAAAAAAAAGTATTTTTAATTGATTTCAGAGAGGAAGGGAGAGGGAGAGAGAGAGAAACATCAATGATGAGAGAGAATCATTGATCGGCCTCCTCCTGCACACCCCACAATGGGGATAGAGCCTGTAACTCGGGCATATGCCCTGACCAGGAATCGAACTGTGACCTCCTCGTTCATAAGTAGACACCCAACCACAAAGCCATACCAGCTGGGCCCTATTATTGTTTTAATTTTTAATTCCCTCATAACAAATGACATTGTGCGTCTTTCCATATGCTTCTATGCCATCTGCATGTCTTTAAACACATTTTTAAATACTTAGATAATATACTGACTGTTAGAGCTGGATTGCAATATTATATCCCTTTTCTATTTAAATACTAGATATTCCCCCAAGAAAACATCCTAAAGTTTGCCTCTCTGGATTACATAGATAATATCTCCCATAATTCCAACATTATTGATAGAAGTCTATTTTAAATGATGATTATGCATATTTAGTAAGTTTTTATGGGCAATGTACATGATAATCTTAAATATTTGTACTGTTAGAAACTTCTTCCTTCCACATCCAATAAGGAAGATAGTACATAATAGTATAAATTACCTAACACTTAAGCAGAAGACTCACACATGCCCAGTTAATAACATTGTCATGCTTTGTGTCCGTAGACAAGTCACTTTACTGTGTGAAACCTCAGTTTCCTCCTCTGTGCAGGAGGGGGTGATTGTAGATGTAGATCCTTGAGAGCTTCTTCTAACACTCTGGTCTTATTCTTTACTCCCCTCTAGAGACTCAAACACTGACCTGAGGCTCATCATCACAGTATTCTTTTCTTTGGCTACCTTTCCTCCTCCTACTGCCACACTGAACTCCCTTTGTCTAGTTGTTAGAACCCTTTCCAGACCACTCCTTCAGTACAACATGTAATTCTCCTGGCTTTAATTATCTGGAGATCACTTTCCTTGTTAATTTGCTGTGTTTTAATTTTTTACATCAAATCTAATTAGGAAGAACTTGCTTTGTCTGAGAGTAATTAAATTTTATCAGGGCAAATTAAGTATAAGCGGATGGCTTTATAGTTTACCTAAAAATCATCCTGGACTGCTTACTAAAATCTAAATTAAATTCCTTTCCGTCCCTTCACCAGGAAGACTTCATGAAAAAAAATTTGGGATTCTTGATCAATTTCAGCTTTTAAACTACTCTCTTTTTAAGGGAGTAGTTTAAAAGCCAAGAAATTGACCCTGAAAAATAACAAATCACCAAAGGGTCTAACTCAGGATATATTTTGTAATCTCTCTTTTCCTTGCTGCTAAATGTATCCTGTTGCCTTGAACGAAAGGAATACACCTACCTTATACAGTGAGCAGTTTTCTCTCCAGGGGGTATTTCACTCATTCAAGTTCACCATGGGTCAGGCTAAGAGCAGTCCTAGTTTAATTCATATTTCTTCCCATAGACATTCTTAATTGCTTCAGGATGTATGACTAATTAGAAAAAACATACACAGCAGGCACAGTATGAGCACATAAAAACCACCTGCACAGGTTGCCATTGTGTTTAAGTCACATAGATTGCCCTATGAGTCATTAACTTTCATAACAAGTCCTCAAAATCCATGTATTAGTAGAGAATGTATATTAGTGCTTTCAAAAATTCAGGTATGTCAAGTGACAACAGGAAAGCAGCATTTTCTCCTCACAGGGAATAGTTTACAAACCTAGGGATTATATAGTTATTACCAGAAAAGTAAAACTGTCTCTAATGGGTAAATATATTGTTTTCCAGTCTCACACAGATCTTGAAGCACAGGTCTTGGTTCAGGGGCCTGAAGGTATTCATTGTTCCTCCCAACACATTGTCATTTAGTTGATGAATCTGAAGTTGCCCCTATTCTGGCTGGCCAGACATATTCATGGCCTTGTCGATATTTGAAATTCAATAAATGTTTAGTATTGAATTAGAAAAGAGAAAAGTGAGCTTTGAATAAGGGGTTAGGACAGGGGTGGGCAAACTTTTTGACTCGAGGGCCACAATGGGTTCTTAAACTGGACCGGAGGGCCGGAACAAAAGCATGGATGGAGTGTTTGTGTGAACTAATATAAATTCAAAGTAAACATCATTACATTACGGTCTTTTTTTTTTTTTTTTTTTAGTTTTATTCATTTCAAATGGGCCGGATCCGGCCTGCGGGCCGTAGTTTGCCCACAGCTGAGTTAGGAGGTCTCATCTTAAGTAAAATACACAACTGAAACCATAAACATGTCCCAACAAACAGGGCAGCTTTATGTGAGGTGGCACGCTTATCTGATCTGCCCACTCCGGGTGGGCCCTAGAACTTGAACCAGAGTAGATCCAGATACTATCAGGTGTAGTAATAGCTGGAAGGGTTTTAGATTGGAAATTTATGAAGATGACACATTTAAAATGAAGGAATAACTATGTATATAGATTACTACGGAGTTAAACATGCGATCCATTGCAAAAGCTTTTCAATAGCATCACAAGTTCCTGTATGATCTAAGGAATTGATTCTTTAACAAAAAATAAATAAAATAGCCTTACATGCTTTTGGATCTAAATGTCTAAGTTTCTAAATAGTTCTATATAGTCTTCAACCTGTGCAGGTTCTACAGAAACTCTTGTGTGTGTCCAAGTTGTTCTTTTCCTGGAAAAATAATAATAAAAGCTAACTTTTGTTAATGATTAGCACATTTGCAGAACTGTTCTAAACTCCTATGTGTATTAACTCACGTTTCTTTTATCAAGGCCTCTATGGCTGTTTTCCAGAACATTTTCTATCTCAGACTTGAACTGCTCAGTCTTAGACTTGAAACGCTGTCTTATCAGGAAGGAGTCGGCTTTCCTTCAGTGTCTCCACTGGAGTGGGCAGGGAGTCAGTGATTGGGAAAGGCTGCTCTGCCTTCATTGCCTTGAAATCTGTGTATCTCTCTCTGTGTCCTGCATGCTGACTGCACGAGTAAACTTCTAGAATGTAACTTCTAGACTAGGACCAAGTTGGAATCGCTTTGCCCATTACACATGAACATGGATAATATTACCCTCCCTATGAATGATCAATAATAGAGCTACATGCAAAAAGTCATGATTACCATTGCAAAATATTACAATAATAATCTGTTGTCAATTGTTCATGAATTATTTCATGCCCATTATTTGCACAGGGTATATATGTACTTTGTAACACCTAATATAGCTGTACTGATTCACTTTTCACTCACTTCCCATCTCTCAGATATATTCTACATAGGTGTGATTCTAAATAACAAAGAGTTCCTCCCTGTCTCTTACTGGAAACCACATTGTGATGTATAGTTTATTCCCTTTAGAAGGGTTCTACACCTGGCATTAGGGGTCTCGACTTATGATCTCTGTGTCCTCTTTAGCACCTAATTCAGAAATAATGTAATTACTAGTATTTTAAAATGACTAATAGTTGAGTCTTCTCTACTAAGTGCTCTATAGTCATTATCCTCCTTAATCCTCACAACACTCTTGTGAAAAAGGTACTATTCTTGATCCCATTTGACATATGATCAGAGTCTTCTTTGATGATATTAAATAATTCAACAATTAAGAGTTAGAAAGCAGGTCTTCTGATTCTGGAATCTGATCTTCACCATTACAGCTGTGTCTCACACATCGTGTTCATGCTAACGAAACAAATCAATTCATTTGTTGGGTGAAAGCAGACCCTACCATTCTTTCTCTCTGGTCATGTTAAATGAGTAGGGAGGAAAATGGGGAGAAACAAAAGAAATCCTTTATCTTCAGCAGCAGCAGCAGAGCACCCCAAAGTTTTCCAGGGCGGGTATAGACCTGGAAATGTTGCTTTGAGCCAAGGAAATGTAGTTGGAGTTTCAATGCCTATCATCCTGCCTCATACCTAGAAGACACTCAAAACATTGAATTGAATCTAAATATGTTCACCAGGACAGCTAGCCTCAGAATGAAGGGAAAGGTAACAGAATAACCTAACCATTGGATTATCATGCCAAGGTCTGCAATCTGCTTTTGAAGTCCATACATAGAGCCTGTGAGGTAGCTAACGGCAATGCCACCGAGCTGCTGTTATTCATGGGGTTTAGACATGCTACCATGTTACACTGGCAGAACATCCTTTTTTCCTTTCAGTCTTCACAATCATCCATGATGGAGGCAGGACAGATACTATTATTCGCCTTAAGAATAAACACTATGTTTGGTAGTAAACACATTTAATAATATATGGCAGAGAAATGGTGCTGGACGGAGACTTGATTTGGGATGGAGAACACAGGATACTGTGTATAGAGGTGTGTTGTGGAATTGTGCACCTGAAACCTATATGATTTTGTTAACTAGTGTCACCCAGTAAATTCAATAAAAATGAAAAAATGAGTGGCAGAGATTTGAGTCTAATAATTTTGAAAATTGAAAACTTGCCAAGGAGCAAGTTTGGGAAAATTAACTTTGGTGAGCCTTTTATTATTATTTTTTTTAAATATGTTTTTATTGCTTTCAGAGAGGAAGGGACAGGGAGAGAGAGAAACATCAATGACGAGAGAGAATCATTGGTTGGCTGTCTTCTGCAGGCCCCACACTGGGGATCGAGCCCACAACCCAGGCATGTGTCCTTGACTGGAATCGAACCCAGGACACTTTAGTCCACAGGCCGATGCTCTACCCACTGAGCAAAACTGGCCAGGCTGGTGAGCCTTTTAAATCTCGCAGATATACATACAGATGCAGCCTCATATTTTCAGAAAAGCCCTGGATAATCAGGAACTCTGCAGTCCACCTGAGTTTGTGGGTCCTAAAGGTAGCCACCACTGATAACAGCTGTTGGTTACTCTGCATTAGATTTTGGTTATTTCCTGGTCTTCAGTGAAGTCTTACTAAAGTCACAAACTGGTAACACTTGTGCTAAGGAGAATTAGCAAGGGCAGAGAGCCCCTTCTGGAGCTGAAGAGGAGGCATCAGTGGTGATCACCTCACTCAGACAGGCCTACCCCGGTGTCTGCAGGCCTGGGCAGGAGTACAAAGGAGATGTGCCCAGAGCCAAATATTTAAACATTCTGAATTAAGCGACCTAGTTGCCTAGAACAGGTCCCATCTTCTTCCTTTGCCAAGTCTACCTTCATAATGACCTGGTAGGCCAGTTCAAATACAGAATTTTCTCCCCGCTCCTCTGCCCACTGCCCATCCTCCATCCCCCTCTCTTCCCAAGCTGGCTCTGTCCCATATGAGGAGGGGTCTTATTCACTCATGAGTGGATATCCCTGGCCACACTTTTAGTCTACATACACACTCTCACAGCAAACAACCACCCTAAGTTGGTCCTTTAGCCTGTAGGGTATGTACACTTGGGTGTTCTAGCTTTAGGATGAAGGCCCCAGGAAGGAAGCCTGAAATCCCTCTGGGCAGGAGATTCTGGAATCCTGGAGGCCCAGAGCATGGTCTAGAGTAGTGGTTCTCAACCTTCCTAATGCCACGACCCTTTAATACAGTTCCTCATGTTGTGGTGACCCCCAACCATAAAATTATTTTCGTTGCTACTTCATAACTGTGATGTTGCTACTGTTATGAACCGTAATGTAAATATCTGATATGCAGGATGTATTCTCATTGTTACAAATTGAACATAATTAAAGCATAGTGATTAATCACAAAAACAATATGTAATTATATATGTGTTTTCCGATGGCCTTAGGCGACCCCTGTGAAAGGGTCGTTCGACCCCCAAAGGGCTCTCAACCCACAGGTTGAGAACCGCTGGTCTAGAGTGACAAGTAGGCCCAGTGGATACTCCACCTCAGGAGGTGGGGCATGGCTGGAGGAAAGTCAGAGCAGACCCTCTTGCCCAGTTCCAAGAGCAGGAATCCAGTAGAGACCAGTCTTCTCAAATGGCTACCTCATAAGTGTAACCCCAGCAGAATCAACAGTGGAGTTGAAGAGAGAGAGAGAGAGAGAGAGAGAGAGAGAGAGAGAGAGAGAGAGAGAGAGAAGATCAGAACAGAATAAACTAAAAAGACTGCCAGAGATCAAAGACCCTTAAGGAGCTCTCAGAAATGGCTGGGGTGACACCGAACGGGGCTCATTTCAAGCAAGTCAACCGTTGGAAGGTTCAACTGTAAAATTATAATTTAAAAATCTGAGGATGTATATTTTGGGTTGGAGGTTACATTGTATAATTCTTTGCATTCCCCAGAGAGGAGAAAATAGTCCACAAGAGGCTAAGAGGCTTGTCCACAGTCACATTTCCCTTGCACAGCAGAGCAAGCATTCCGATTATGAATCCAGTGCTCTCTGTTTCCAATACATGCTGAAGAAGCAACCAGAAGAGCCAAAGAACATTTGGGGCAGGTCTGTTATCAAAACCTCTGCACTGCATCTCATTCATACCTGGACGCAAGGAAGAATCCTTGCTTCATTGGTTTTCCTCAGTAGGCCTTCCCACCTCACTGATTGTTGCTGCTGAGTCAAT